CACACACACACACACACACACACACACACACACACACACACACACACGCACACACACACACTAGTTACTGCAGATTTACATTTGACAAAACACAGACTGAAGACATGTTTGTAGATGCTGTGCCTTTAAATTGAGACATTCTGCAAAAGAAAACCTACAAAAACTTTCAGCCTAAAAGGACAATGTTGCAGATTTTGCATGTTTTGGCCCATTAACTACTTATTGCATGTACTTCACTGCTGACCTTCTGCAAAGAACACTGTAAACTCTCAGATTGATTCCCTACCTTCGCGCCCTGGGCAGCCATTAGTCTCAGCTGTTTGAGAGCAGCATAAATACAAACTTGCAGAGACCTGAAACTTACTTTAGATTGGTGATTCATCACTGTGAACATTTACTCAGCTGGATTGTTTTTTTTTGCTGCTGGCAAAAGAGTGTTTTGAAAATGTTGGTTCGTTCAAGTGTTTGCATGAAACTGTGACTTTGAGCGTTTGCCACTAAACAGCACACTTTCAAGATCGCCAAGGGAATCACATTATGTATTGTATGATATCTATTTCTGTCTCTCAAATCCCAAATGATAGAGTCTAAGCTGCATTACATCGTTCTTATTTTGGGTTTTGTGGTATTTGCACTTCCTGGTTCATGACGACGTGGATCGGATATCTACGAATCACAGCGCATTCATTTTTGTAGATACGAGCGCTGAGAAGGCTTTGAGAACAGCCTGTTCAAGTCTCTTCTAGTTTATTTTCATTGCCACTAAAGTTCTAATACATTTTGTGAAATGGTGAGTTAGCATTTAATGGAGTAATAAGAGCAATAACACTGAAATGAGAACTAAAGAAGTTTCTGCTTAAACCTGACATGAATGAGATAAAATAACCTGCACCTTCCAAATGAGATGCAAACACGTGTTTTCATTGTGTGTCTCTGACTTCGACAAATCCAACGAGTCATTTGGTTCCTATGAAGACAATGTGCACACATGCACAGGGGGCTTGACTTCATACCTGGCCCATGGAGCCATCTTCTCCGCCAGCCGCCGGCTCAGACAGAACCCTGCTCCTCCTGTGGCGAACCAGAACCGCACTTCCCTCTGAGTCACAAAGCACAACACACAGATATTCAAATAAAGGCGTGTACACAGCCAATGTCAGGGGAATATACAGTATATCGCTGATGGAACCTGACGCCATGTTAAAGAATCACACTGCACCACTCGCTCATCAGTTAAGTGTAAATTAATTTCAGCAAATAGACGACAATTCTTCTACCGACTGGACGTGAGGCATCAAGCCTGACTGACAAACAAACGTCTGTAATAGAGAAGAAGAAGAAAACAGACGGAGCGCTTTACTCGCTGACCCTAGATAGCAGTAATACTCTTTTTTCCCTCTCCTGTCGGGTTCTCTTCAGACTCACATTGATCGTTCGCTCTTTTCTAAAACCACCTGATGAGAATTGCACGTCTGTATCTGCTGACTCGGGCCATTTCTCCAACTGATGCTGTTTGTTTGTTATTTCCTGTTTGTTTGTTATAAATCGGTTTCGGAGTTTAGGGCCGGCTGTAATTACACAACAAATTAGTGGATTGTGTTTGTTGTTGTTTTTTGCTCTGCGCTGCGTATCCTCTGCCTTCCTTTACTCATCAGTGTTTATTTATTCAGTTTGTTACCACTCTACCAATTGTCCTTTTCTATTCCCTTTTTTCCTGACATTTCCTTTCGTTCTGTTCTTTCCTTCCATCATCTACTGTAAAGCACGACACACACACACACACACACACACACACACACACACAC